AACTTATTGATTGATTGATTGAAAACAAAACAAACAATACAACTCCTCAGTGACTCATACAAATACAAATTAAACAATTTCATATTTCTTTGACAGTTTTGCTTTGATTATTTTTTAAGGGAATTAATTGATTCAATGCTTTTATAATCATTTTCCTGATAATTCTTCTCAGTCTTTTACTGCAGCCAGCTCTGTTATACCAGGACAGCTGAAAAGACCTGTTACTTCCCCACTGTGGGATGAATAAAATGTTTGTTTTTTATCTTACGTTTCCCCACCTTTTGCACCAAATTAATCTGAGGAGTTGATCAGCCCTGCTGTTTAACTCAAGTTGTTCTTTGTAAACAAGACTGTATCAAATGGCTTTGCCAAAATCCGGTCCACAACATTCAAACTCTCTGCCGTTATGTGCAGCTTGCTACCTATCTAACTCGTTAGCTGGGACTGGCGCAAGGCTAGAGTGAAGTGTGTCCACCTTTGAGTGCTTTGTGATGGCGGAGGGGCTCAGCAACACCCGCTCAACAGAAACTGTGATAGACATCAGAAAGAGTGATAGAAGTCTGTCTCCAAACACAAGCAGATACAATAAAAACCATCAGAAATAAAAACTTGATTTGTTGCTAGTCGTTTTTAACAAAGAAAATGCCGCTAAGAGGATTAGGAATGTCTCTCTGGTTCAGCTCAGAACAGAAACTGTCAAGAAACCTGGCTGTGCCAACCATCCAAAGGGTTGGAAACAGGCCGGCAGAGCCTCCCTTTGACTCCCAGCATAAAGGAGGATGTGACAGAAAAAGAGGCCATAAGAGAGACCGAGATGCAGGAAAAACGGGCCCAAGGGAAGAAAAAAGCAAGAAGAAGAAAGAGAAGGAGTAATGAGGAGTAATAAGTATTAATTTTGATTGATTTTAATGCTGGCAAATAAATAACAAGTGTAATGATTATATGCTTATTGCGAAGTGTGATTTAACTAATGTACTGTGATGATTAATGTGTTTTAATGTAAGATGGTGATTTAAGAGAAGTGCTATTGTATGTCTTAAAATGAAAGAAGGGTGTGTGTGCTACATTTGGACGGTAAAAAGGACAAACTGTACTTCTGCAAAACAGAGGAACAATAATAGAAAAAAAGAGAAGTGGGGTTTTTGTCTGGAAAGACCCAGAGGCCCTGTAGTGAAAACAAGGCGGTTTAACTCACGACGGAAAGTCCCTGAGAGTCCTATTACAAGAATCAGCAAAATTACTTCATTCTGGAAAGTACACAAAACGTCCAGTGGTGGAAAACCCCAGCCTATCACAGGATGGTAGGAAGGGGGTAAGATGGCCCAAAACAGTATAAAAAGGGGAGCAGTTTCAGCAGTAAGTCGTCTTCTGGCCCCATCTGGAGAAGAGGCAGCAAAGGCAAGGACAGCCCAAGAAGAGGAGCAACAGATCCAAGAGACATCTCAGCTGGGACAAGCTGCCACACTGCTCTCCAGCAATCTACAGACCAAAGACCAGATTAAACAACCCAGCTTTGAGAAGTTCTCTCNTTTCTGCACTGCAAGATAACATTGGCCTTTCTCAAGCTGGAACGGACTGGTCTGGAAGGGTGTGAAGCACCTTAAAGGCACAGTGGTATCAAAACCAGCTGCTTTGAGAAACACATCAGAAAAGTGGTGAAAGAGGGGCTGGTAAAGTTAGAATAGGGAGGAATTCAGACCAAAGCATTGTAATTCCACTTCATGAAGACCCCAATTAAATGATTTCAATGCTAAAAATAAGTATTTAAAAGCACAATATGTCCATTTTTTTTTGTTTTGTACAACAAAAAAATGACTCCTGATTTTTTTTTTCTTCTCCCTAAAAAAATCTCTCTAGGAGCAACCAAGGTAGTGTTCAGCACTGTACTGGGTGAACCTGGAACTGTTGGACCCTTTGACACAGACACAACACTAATTTACAAAAGAGTGATATTAAATGTGGGCAATGCCTACAACCAGTTCACAGGTAAGTAAAGGACAGAGACATGGTGGGTTTTTAAGTGACATAAACATATAACTGGTCCAAAGAACTGAAGGTCTCYTGAAATTATGATGCTTCTTTGTAGTTTTATTATTTTTCTGCTGAATGAATTGCCTATTTGGGGCTTTGACAAACTTAAAAACTCATGAGGGAGCACAATGAATATGAATAAAATGTTTTTAAGAGTCGCATAATATCTGTGGCAGTTTTGCTCAGCAGTGCCACTTATTAACYTCATTAAGACCTAGTCTGACTCAGAGGAGTGAGATTTACAGCTCATAATGTAGTCTCCTAGAGGTTAAAAAAATCCTTTTTGGGGACATGTTGAGCACCTCTTCCTGGAGATTTTGAAGGGTCACTCCAGAGTTGGTCAAAATGTCACTGGTTACATTAAAGGTTATCGGAGTTTTCATCAGAGGCAGTGGGAGTGACGAGACTTCAAACTGTGGCTTCTCTTCATGAAACAATATTGTTCTGAAAACGTCTGAAATGCACAAAAATGTACATTTTCTCCTCTGTTTGAACAAGAAATYATGAAAATGACAGGGTTAYTTTAGAATTTGTATTTAGAACACAAATTACATATAAAGATTTTTTTGTCATTATAATAGACCTCCTTGGTGATTTATCACATGTAGATGTACAGGTAGTATGAACTTTAAAAAAATGCCTTAGTAATATATTTGGTGCTTTCTGTGTGTGTATGTGTGTGTGTGTTTCACAGGTACCTTCACAGCACCAGTTGCAGGTGTTTATTACTTCACCTTCTTCTATCATGCTGGAGGATATCGTGAATCAAAGCTGCTTCTTTACAAGAATGCTGATGTGGTGGTCATGACTCATGATCACCATTCAGAGTCAGACACAGCTGACAACGGAGGAAACGCTGTGTTCCTGCAGCTGCAACAAGGGGACCAGTTGTTTGTTAAAATAGAAGCAAATACACATGTTTGGGGAAACGACCACCACACCACTTTCAGTGGATTTTTAGTCACAGAAACATAAAAAGGATGGATTTTTTTAAAGGGAGGATAAGACAAAATTACTTACATAACAAAATACTTATACATAATCCCAAACTTTGTGTAAAAGACCTACTGTAATC